GCATATATAAGCAAATATGTAGACCAGGTGACGGGAACCTTAAAAGGCTTATTCTACAGCAATTATACGATGAGGCAATCTTATGCCAAATACGGCGGTATTGCGTGTCTGGACACTCGACATAAGGGCAACAATACCTGGGGCTGGCAATTGGCCATTCTATTCACACACATATATATATATATACATATATTATATTGTATAGTATATATTGTATATGTGCGCGTGTGGCAATAGCAATCTAGTGATGCACAAGTAGCTGTACATAGCAGTATCGTACCGGGGCCCTACACGGGTCATGCGTCGCGGCGGATGGAATTTATGAAACTATCCATGCATGGCCTACGTTTTCTGTGTATATCTCACCGATACAGTTCGATATACCACGGCACTAGATGTCAAGTCATTCAACTGCTTACGCTGACTATCTATATATCACTCCTTGCACTTTCTTTTATTTTTATCTTGCAGGCACAGTATGGTATTGGGTATCAAATGGTCCTGGCCAAAGGACCGAACTGTCAGGAGAAGGCCATAACTGAAGTGCTGGAGAAGCATGTGAACGTTGTGTTATTGAATAATATTGGTGCAGAGCTTAGCTACCAATTGCCTCAGACGGAGATGGACAAGTTTGTACCAATGTTCCAAGAGTTGGAGCAGAGACTGCAGGAGCTTGACATACAGTCGTACGGGGTATGCAGCCAGTGACACACGCATGAATGATCCTTGAGTGTGTATGTATATGTTACTTTGTATATTACAAATAAAAATATACACACATGTATACATAGCACGATCTGTCGTACTTGTTTGGATGTACACTACGACAACATCCTTTTCTGTATGCGCTACAAAGCTACGAAACTATCGATATCGTGAATGTTCGTCTCTTACACAACGTATCTCTAGAGATACGAAAAGGAATTGGGTTGGCGACTTCGCTTTCCTTCCACCAAATATGTAAACGCTAAACACGAAACTGTCTATAGAGCTACGAAAAGGACAACTCTTCGTTCATCTTGCCGGCTACCTAGTGACGAATGCTTGATTGTGTGACGTATCGTTTACTGTTTACAGGTGTCTTGCACTACACTCGAAGAAGTCTTTCTGAAAGTCGGCGAGATGGAGCACGATGATGAAGGCGAGGCCGACGACAAAGACTCGGATAGCAATGACTTGTATAACAAGTATGTAGACAGATACACAGCTACCAGTACACGCGTGCATGCATATGTGCAATCGTGGTTGCAGGGACATGAATAGCAATGCCATACTCAGCAAGTATCGATACAGTTACCAGCACAAATATGTATACATGCATGCAGTTTCAATGGTAGATGTGAGTGTGTGTATGTTTGGATATATATATGTGTGTGTGTGTGTGTAAGATGAGTAAATGTTGTTTCTTATTAGATCACTTTCAACTATTACACTCTGATTGTGCAGATAGGCTGCCCATCAGACATGCATACCATCGCTTATGATTGCTCAAGCGCACTCAGGTACACTTTAAAAACGTATATTTACTACATATTCCTATGAAGAGCGTTTCGTATCATATATGTTTATATTATATGTATATGTATGTAGGTATATATATGTGTGTCTGTGTGTGTGTGTGTGAACTGATAAATCTTTTCCTTCTCATCCATCCTTTCTATTTTACTGCCTGCAGAGATGGCGCATCGAGCACTTTGATGTCCGAAGTTGGTGTCGATGTGAGTAGTGTCGATGGTAAGTTCCAAGTCCTGACTGGCTGCCACTGGTTGGTATATGGGTTGGCACTCATACAGGCATCTCGTCCGTAGTCAAACACGCATATTTGTTGTATGTATATGTATATGTATATATATATATCATACGCACACGCACACACACAGAGAACTGTACGTGTACAAACGTAGATACAGATTATACACACCCGCAGACGTAGATACAGATTATACACACCCGCAGACGTAGATACAGATTATACACACCCGCAGACGTAGATACAGATTATACACACCCGCAGACGTAGATTGCTACATCTCTCGTTCAAATTAGCTAAACACTAACCACCTAAAATTCTAAAATCCTGCATCGGGTTGGGTGAAAGTGGTAACGTAATGCGTAAGTGTGATTGCGCGCTTTCGCTCCGCTTGTCTATTCCACGGACAAGTGCGGTTGTAATGTTTTAGGGTTTTGAACGTTTGGCCGATTTAGGCTCAAAGGTCCAGTAGTGTGCAAGCATGCACCAAACTTCCAATGAAACACACTCTCGCAGCATCCCATTCACAGACCGCAATCGTATGTACTATGTATGTGTGCGTATGTATCATGTATCATGTATATGTATGTATTTGTGTATATGATGTAAACAGTATGTCATATGTGTGAGTACATGTATATAAAGCTCTCATAGTACACATAATACATCCGAAGAACTTCACTCACGCCATACTATGTTATGGCATATCATGCAGGATCGCGTGAATGCATGAACAAACTTACGTATGTGTCGCAGCTAACGTGCATATACGCGTATATCACATCTCATGGCAAGCAGGAGGCGATGATTTCGAAAATAGATATCTGATGTCACCAGGCTATGCACTGGCATGGCAGCGAATTAAAGCACTCCTCGTCAAGCGATATATTAACGCCAGTAGAGATTGGAAGGTGGGTGTTTAATTAGAGACGTGCGCACAGTATATGATATGCAGATATATATATTTATATGTATGTATATATATTTTTATATTTATATATATATACATATATATTTATATATATATACATATATATTTATATTTTTATGTATATAATGTATATATATATATATATATATATCTCTCTATATATATACATATATATATATATGTGTGTGTGTAGATGTATATATATGGATATATATATATATCGGTGGATTTATTTGGTGTGTTATGATACTCTCGCTTGTATCGCACATGTGAGACAATGTCTTTCCTTCCCACGAGCATAGACTTGTATCACAGCGGAATCTTCACACAAATGAGTAGATGTTAAATAAACCGATGTGTAAGCATCTGGGCACTACTATGTGGCAATGTATACCATTTTGTGAAACGAGTGCGTGGGTTAGGCTGGTGCAGTGATGGATATGTGGCGATGTATAACATTTTGTGAATACAAGGGCGTAGGTTTGGTCTGTCAGGCTAGACGAACACGTACTCTTGTACGCACTAAGTATAGTTCAGTGTTTCGGCTACATGCTTTGTCCTTTTTCTTAGACCTACCTATATCTCTACCTATCCTCAGAAATGGTCATATATCATATAAGCCCTATGTATACACTATACACCTCCTTGTACAGGTTGGACTGGCCCAGTTGATGGTGCCTGTAGCCTTCTGCCTGTTGGCGTTGTGTTTGGGTAAGTTCGCACCTAACCCGTCTGACAGAGATTGGACTCCGATGAGAGTACTCACCTCTGACATGTACTTCGATCCCGCTGTACCCCAGGTATATATACACGTGTGTATGTAGCTTCTCCTGTGGAGGGTATATATACGTGTGCGTGTAGCTTCTCCTGTGGAGGGTATATATACAACGTGTGTATGTAGCTTCTCCTGTGGAAGGTATATATACGTGTGCGTGTAGCTTCTCCTGTGGACGGTATATATACAACGTGTGCATGTAGCTTCTCCTGTAGACGGTATATATACAACGTGTGCATGTAGCTTCTCCTGTGGAGCGGTGCTAGTAACCGTGTATGTGCCTGTGCATGGATGTGACTTGTAACCCAGAATGTGCTATGTGGTACATATTTCAAGCTGACTGGACTGTGTTGTCTATTACAGCGTAACTAAACTGCCCCATTTGGCACATACAGTGTTTCAACTGGGGCGTGTGTCTAGAGATGTAGGGTTTGAAAACCCCATAACCCTAAAACATAGTAGATATCAAAAGTAGTTCAGTTGGCACATACACAGTATAGTAGCCGGAATGTACCGTACATTACATATACGTTTTAGTATTTAGACATGTATTGTTGGACACACGTATACCGTGCATTGACTTATGTATGTCATCCATTACGTACACGTCTTAGCAATCAAAAATATTCACTGGGTATACGTATGCAATCAGTGACTATAGTATGTTGTCAATTCGTATACGCTTTAGTATTCAAACGTGTAGAATTGGGCGCATTTACATTATATTGTGACTGAAATTATTATCCATTACGTAAACGCAGTACGTAGATCAATCAGTGCCGGATGTGGGAACGGTTGAGTCATGGAAGACGGTCATACCATTGGTGGAGTTTGGATTAGACATAAATCCCAGCACAGATATGCTGAACTACCTACTCAACATGCAACGCACTGTGGGCCAGGAGTTTCTGGAGACAAATCTGGGAGCCTTTAGGTACGACTGAGATATTATATATATACTATACATATTATATATATATATACGAAAATTGATACATATATACATATGCAAATATATATATACATATATACAAATTTATTACAATTATTAGATAGATATAGACAGATACTCATATACATAAATATGTACAAATTAAGGATTGTTGAGATTTGGAGTTTTTAGGGTTATATAGTTGTCAAGTATTGTATTCTCGACCCTTATTGGTGATGTTTTATTACTCGTGCTGAATGTTCTGTTTATGTGTGTGTGGTCACATGCGTCTGAGGTGTGGTAGTATCCGCTTAAATACGGAGGTGACGATGCAGTTGCTTCATGGTATAACGTAAGCATATATACAGTTTTGTGTTATTGACTTGACTTCCACAACCAATTAGTAACTTGTATATATGTATATATATATATATATATTGTAATATGGGTGTGGTCCACAGATAGTAGTGAGCTTGAAGGCTCGTGTGCAGAACTGAATAGTGTCTGATGCATGCTTGATGGTTCGGGTGTATTAGGGGTGATTTTTTTAGAGTGATGGAGGCATGGAGAAATGTTGCGCGCCTTATGATATTGGTTTATGCCTACAGCTGATTTGATAAGCGTAGACCAATAGAAGAAGAGCATAACACATTTAGTAGTGTAGTGTAATAGTATGATGGAATACATGGCGAGAAAGGAGATGTTGCGTCGGTGACCAGAGGGTCTGACGGCAGGCAATGTCTAGCTATAGGTATATATGTCAAGGTTGTGGGATGATCAGTCCTCACAACCTTGTAAGCTATTACACTACTTTGATCCTATAAAGTACAAACGTTGTTTCACTCTAAACCGTTCGTGAACTAAATTAGTTACTCACAATCACCCCTCATACACCCGAACCATCAAGCATGCATCAGACACAATTCAGTTCTGCACACGAGCCTTCAAGCTCACTACTATCTGTGGACCACACCCATATTGCAATATATATTTATTTATATATAGATTTATATATTATATTATAATATAAATATATATATATGTGTGTGTGTGTGTATACATATACATATATAGATATATATATTATATGTATATCTATATATATACATATCATATTCACTATCACACCCGAACACGAATCGGCTCTTGTTTACTATCTCACGCATATAGTATGGTGAATGAGACAGTCAGCGATGTGTTGAACGCCAATGTCAGTACGTGGATCAGTGGAGAAAGCACCCACAGTTTGGGTAAGTAGATCCACTACAGTTGTGGTGGATAGACGACAGTTGTGTTATAGGTATATCTGTCCATATATGTTGACACCAATAGCTTATGAATGCTCACTCATAGGCGATATAGATTATATTTTAAGCATGTGCAAGTGCAGGCCTTCTCGTGCGGCTGTGAAGTGGCGCTTAAGCGCAAGTGTAAGGTGGAGCTGTATGCCTACACGCATGTGTGCGCCTGCATAGGGCAACCTCGTAGGAACAAGTACACCCGCGAGTGTACCTATCGCACTCGTGACCAAAACATTTCTTTGTCAAAACGGCAATTGTACCGAACTTCCAATATCCGTGTCTGTACAGGTGTGTATGTGGGCCAACTGGTAGAGTCTCTGGTGCGCAGCGGACTGCCAGACCCCACTCAAGAGTTCAACATGCAGTTCGCTATAGATCCGCTGCCTCGAGATGCGCAAAAAGGTAGGTATATTTGCAGCAAGAATTAGTATACTCGTAGACAGGTAGTTTAATATCATTGTGGTGATAGCTGCAGATGACCCTTCAACGTATATTGCGCACATTGCGAACACATCTCGCCAGTGCTTTTCCATTGACTAGTATGGCTGTGTTCGTTTAACCTCGTGGAATCCAATGGCGACAACAAGAACATGGATCTTCCTAAAACCCTAGAACCCTAAAACCGTCAATACCTATCTTTGCCTCTGCCTCTCCTGAAAGTCACGTAGCGACTTGCTTTACTTAACATACATATACCGACAGGTGCAAGCGTAAACATACACGTACATGCATGCTGAAATAGTACACACAGCCCCGGCAGCAGCTATCCAATACATCTTCCTTGAATCTGCGTGGATCTCGCTTTGTGCAACACCGGTAACATAGCTATATGATACCCTAAACCCAATACTCTACGCCACTTTTCCGCCTGCTTCTCGGTCGCGCATAGTGTGACTGAGGCAAAGCGTACTATATCAACAAACGCTTTTAGTTAAAGCGCCTATGCCCTAAATCTTAAAATGCTTTGCCCTTTTGTTGACCTCTTCCTCTGGTACTTTCCGAACACTTGCAGAGGCGTACGATTCTGTGGCCATAGACAATTCAGCGTTCAACATAGCCTTCTTCACACTCTTCGGTATCGTGTGCTCCACTTGTTGTATTATGATCTTTGTGGTCAACGAGCGAGTCAGCAATTCGAAGAATATCCAATTCATCAGCGGCGTCACACCATTGCAATACTGGAGCACGGCGTAAGTGTGCACTGTCTTGTCGTACATGCATGCGCACACACTATATATATATATATATAGTGCGAGTGTGTGCATCTATATATATGCATATATGTATGTATGTATGTTTATAGATATATATGTGTATTTATTTATATATATATGTGTATTTATTTATATATATATGTGTGTGTGTATGTATGTATATATGTATGTAAATGTACATATGTATGTATGTGTTTTGTCATATATGTAAATCTATATATATATTTACACGCATAACTTCAATACATCCTGTAAGTAAGTTCTGTTCATACACACACATCCTTTCAGTGATTAAGTTAGAATCGGCACTCTGACCAAGTCTACTTCTTGATCTAGCTCATTTCACACATGTCGCTTTCTACACCTGAATGCCGTTGTTTTCCTGATTGTGTTGCCTTATTTTGCCATTTCCCATCCACTTTACATTCAGCTTTGCCTGGGATTTCACTCTGACCTTGATCCCCAATTTGCTAATCCTGGCTTTGTTCGCCGCCTTTCAGATCGAGGCTTACACAACGGTATGTGTACACACACAGATAAGCACACGATGTTTGTTTTTTCATATTTATATACGTTGTACGCATATCGGTATGTGAACGTACTCTGATAGCGCATGAAGTTTTGTTTTGTTTTTTCATATTTAGAGCTTTGAGTGTACAAGCTCGTCTGTCAGCTTAAGGTCTACATCACGCTATGAGCACATACTCAGATAAGTGCATGATGTTCGTTTGTTCATGTTTAAAGCTTGGTATGATGTACACGGACCCCGACTTATGTAGTAGTCTTATCAAAATCGACCAGACAAACACGGCTCACATCAGTCAGTCGGTCTATTTATACTAGAAACTACGTTTCATTGTCTAACCTATGAGCCATTTTCCTGATTGGAATAGCATATATTTTACATATACGCGTATGCTTCATATTCGTCTGTACCACTGCCGTGAGACGCAGTCACTCTGTGCAATGTTATAACAGATACAGGTCTCTAGCACACTATCTGACAGAGGCGTGTGCCAACACATCCCTTTGAATAGGATGCGTATATGTACAAGGATATACTATTAATGACGGTTCACTAGACTTGTACTTGTTCACGGTTCTTTTGGTGTATGTATACATGTACCGATAGGTTGTGTACGCCTACGAATCTCAACTGTGGCCTGATTTGATTGGTATAATTATATATGTATATATATATATATATATGAATGTATGTATATATATATATATATGAATGTATGTATATATGTATGTATGTATTTGTGTATATGTTATAGTATATATTGTAGTATGTATATATATATATATATATATTATTGTATACTTGTACTGAAATGTGTAATTATACCAATGCATACGTGCACTGATAGGGGTACAATCTACTGGCCATCTTCTTGCTGATCCAACTGTATGCGTGGGGTTTCATTCCGTTGATGTACATGGTGTCCATGGCTTTTGACTCGGCCGCCACCGCTGTGAGGTGAGTGTGTCAGTATTCTGCGGATATTATCGCATTGCAATAGGGGAGCAGGCATGTGCATGATAAGCTTAGACAATGGAAGGAACGTGTGTTGTTTTTGGTGCGGTGACGGAATCGGGTAGTCCATATTTTGTCATACTGTATGTTGGTTTTATGTGCATGGGCAGGTTAGTGTAGTTAGAGCACAGGGGGATTTGATAGTATCTCAAAGGGTACGTTTATTAACATGTGTACGCTCACAATGGAACCGGTACTCCTCAGTCATATCGTCGTAGAGCAAAGAAATCAGAACTATCTTGATATCGTCTTGGTATTAGCCTATGCATACTTGTTTAGCATATATTCAAGACACTGTGCTTCGCTTGAGATTTATATATATATAATTCTATAATTCTATAATTATAAATATATTTATTATGACACTCTGCCTTTTATGAGCGGACTTCTTACTCTGTGCACTTTTGGCAGTTGCGGCATCATCCTCAACTACATCACTGGTCTGGCCACAATGATCGCCTGCGACGTGTTGCGCAATCTCGGTAAGTTGTTGACTAATCAATCCCATAGGTTATATAAATGCACTTGGTTAATAACATACACAAATGCAGCTGTTACTATGATACACGTATCCAACTAATATATTGTACACGGATATGTTGTCAATACCTGTCCTACACAGTTGCAGTTTCATGTCCAGGGTGTGCACAGGCACAGGCGCATGAACTACCTGTGCTAGCACTAAGGAATGAGTATATATGTACATGCATCATGTATGTTTGTATCGTGTATGCATGTATCGTGTATGTATGTATCGTGTATGCATATATCATGTATGTATGTATCATGTATGTATGTATCATATATGTATGTATCTTTAACTATCGTGTATGTATGTAGCGTGTATGTATGCATCATGTATGTATACATCATGTATGTATGCATCATGTAATGTATATATCTTTCATCTATATCAATGAGTAGCATATCATATGTACCATATATGTATATATCATGTATGTAAGCTCCATAGTACCCCTCTCACAATCACATCATCACCATTTCTCCATCGCCATGCACGCATACGCAGGCTTAACGGCGTCGTCGACCGATGACACAGACTATTTCTTTATCGGCACAATGATCTACTATGTGTCACTGATCTTCCCCAACTTCTGTCTGGGCATTGGGCTCATGGACCTGTACAAGAATTGGCAGTTGATGGACGTGTGCGTGGTGAGTACCGGGGAGTGGTGGTGTTTGGGTGTGTGTATAGATGCTGGATGAGTGAGTGATTTTGAACATCCCCGTATTCGGACATTAGGGGTGAGATATATAGCTAGAATGTAGTATTGAGTTTGCATTTATTACACATGCATTACATTTATGTCCATCTTATGTGTGTGTTGAGCAGTGATATTCTTGACACCTTTGTATGCTCCCTACTATATGGTATATATATACGTATACATATATGTTTATATTTATATATATATATATATATAGTGTGTGTATGTGTGTGTGTGTTTAATATATATATATATATGTATGTATATATATATATATGTGTGTGTGTGTGTGTATATATATGTATATATATGTGTGTGTATGTGTGTGTGTGTATATATGTGTGTGTATGTATATATATAAGTATGTATATATTATAATCTCTGAGCAGATTATATAGCATTTCCTATACCTTATTCGCACATCACAAACACACCAATACTCACTACTTTTTTCTTTTTTTTGCACAGACCCTCCTGTCAGCGGCGCCCACAACACTACCAGGACTCGAGGGTGTCTCACCGGAAGAAGTGTGTACGTCGCAGCAGTTTGTAGATCTGCTGGGGTCGTATGGGGTCTATTATCCGGATGTGCGATACCACTCGGAACCAAACTACTTCGCGATGAGTCCCCCGGGTATAGGTCTGCCCCTGACGGCGCTTGTGCTGTCCGGCTTTGTCTACTTTGGGCTGCTGTTGGCTATTGAATACAGGTATGTTGTATATGTATATATGTCTATGTCTATATATATATATATATATATACCTATGGAGTCTGCATACGTCTCCTCAACATATCAAACATAGTAGGCTGTACTTCCCTTCAACCATGCCAGCCCTTCCATGCTCTCACCCATTTCATATATACCGTATTACGCAGATAAGGAGACTTGGTAATATCTCAAGCGTTCAAATATGTATACTCCCACGCAAACCGAGTATCTATACCCTCTCGCACAATATCAATCATATCGAGTCTGCATATTCCCCTTAACCCATCAAACGAATTGATGAATTCTATATTCTCCTTACCTCATCAATCGTATTGAATCTGTATATTCTCCTTAACTTGTCAAACGTATTGAATCTATATATTCTCCTTAACTTATCAAACGTATTGAGGTTGTATCCTTCTCTTCAACATATTAATCATGTCGACCTTGTATTCTTTCCCGCAAAGTATCAAACATATACGATATACACACCTCCCCTCTATCCAATGCCCAACCCTCGCCCCTCTTTCTCACTCTCATACCCACCACGCACCCAACTCACCCACACAATAAACAGTGCACACGCCACAAGCAACACAAACGAACAGTTATCAATAATAAACACCCCACAAGCAACACAAACGAACAGTTATCAATAATAAACACCCCACAAGCAACACAAACGAACAGTTATCAATAATAAACACCCCACAAGCAACACAAACGAACAGTTATCAATAATAAACACCCCACAAGCAACACAAACGAACAGTTATCAATAACAAACACCCCACAAGCAACACAAACGAACAGTTATCAATACTAAACACCCCACAAACATCCCACAGATTCTGGCTACCACAGCGAGAGCCTAAGGTCAAGCAGTCGCACCGAGACGCACAAGCACAGCTGACGGGTAACTACGAGGATGACGAGGATGTTATGGCTGAGCAGAAACGGGTGGAGGGTAGTGCCATTGATGACGATGTGGTGGTGCTGCAGGTGGGTGGGTGATTGGCCCAGAGACGCGTATCAGACTGGTTTCTATCTGTTTATGTGCAATGATTGGGTTCTGACTGTTTATTTACAATGATGACGATGTGGTGGTGCTGCAAATGGGTGAATGATTGGCCCAGAGAAGCGTATCAGACTGGTTTCTATCTATTTATGTGCAATGATTGGGTTCTGACTGTTTATTTACAATGATGGCGATGTGGTGGTGTTGCGGATGGGTGGGTGATTGGCCCTGAGAAGCGTATCAGACTGGTTCCTCACTGTTTGTTTCGAATGCCTGACTCCTGTTCAATATTCACAATGACGGCGATGTGGTGGTGTTGCGGATGGGTGGGTGATTGGCCCAGAGAAGCGTATCAGACTGGTTCCTCACTGTTTGTTTCGAATGCCTGACTCCTGTTCAATATTCACAATGACGGCGATGTGGTGGTGCAGCAGAGGTTTGTCCCAGTGAGACATGTCAGACTGCGTTCAAACTGGTTTTATGTTCACTGGACGCTGTGCTCTATACTTGTACATGCTTTCTGTATACTTGTACGTCTGTTCTATATGCGTGTACGTTCTTTCTGTGTACGGAATAACTTATTGCGTAATTATTCTTTGCGAAGGACTAGGTCTCAATTGTTAATTTTCTCGTATACCTTTTCTGAGATTCCGTTGTTTGATGACTAAAATAATCTGGTGTATTCAACACCCGCTGCTAGTCTAGCTATACATACTAATATTCTGCAGAGGGGATTGCCGAGGTTTCGCTTCTGATTTTATTTCGGATTTGTTTTTGAATACTGATTATCGCGCTCAGGGCCTCACCAAGCTATACAAGCGGAAGGGAAAGAAACAGCCACCCAAACTAGCGGTAGACGGAGTGACGGTAGGCATGGGCCGTGCCGAGTGCTTTGGGCTGTTAGGTGTTAATGGTGCAGGAAAGACCACCACATTCAATATGATGACTGGTATGTTTGTGTGTTTATCAGTGCTGGCGTATAACACAGTATTTATACACCATGACCAAAATCTAATGGATGGGTGCGCACAGTAGATAGAAATGGCATAGTATTGACATGCATGCCGAACAAATATATATATATATATCTATATATATATTGTGAGTAACTTACTTAGTTCACGACCGGTTTAGAGTGAAACACTGTTGTACTTTATATGATCAAATTAGTGTATTAGCTTACAGAATTGTGAGGACTGATTATCCCTTAACCTTGTCCTATATAGTCTTTCTAGATATTGCCTATCGTCAATCCCCTCTTGTTACTGACACAGCATCCCTCCGAGTACCCGGCCTTCTCTGTAGTCCGTCACCCGTCATCTATGTATTTTACACTACTTAACACTTCTCGCTACTTTACAGCCTGTGCTCTTGTTCTATTAGTAGACATTTACAGCCTCATCATATCTGCAAAACCAATATCACTAGACACACAGCACTGGTATTCCACACTAAAACTAACCCCTCATTCGCCTGAGTCATCTTGTATGACTCACTGCTACAGGTGGACCACATACACATTACAATACATATTTTATATATGTATATATATATATATGTGTGTGTGTGTGTTTGTATGTATACCTGTATCTATATCTATATGTACATATATATATATTTGTTTATATATATATATATATACATATATCCGATTTATATATATCTATATATTCTTTCCCGTGTGGTGCAGGAGGCATCCCGTATAGATGTACAGCACAGTAATAATACACTATGACCAGAAGCAAATAGATCCGCGAGCATAGTTAAAAGCACCAGCATATTGTATACCTAATATACATATCTCCTTCAACTCTCCCTGCAGGAGCCCATCCCATCACAGCCGGAGATGCCATCATTGGAGGGTACAGTGTGAAACACGACATGGAGGATGTACGGCAGCTGATTGGCTACTGCCCGCAGTTTGATGCTCTCATTCCGCTGATGACTGGCCGTGAGACACTGCGGTTCTACGGTAGACTGCGAGGCATTCCCAAAGACCGCCTGGAAGCGGTGTGTACTCGAGCACTTGTGTGTGTGTGTGATTTGTATGTATGTTGTGTATATGTGTATATGCATATACGTTGTTTGTGTGTTTGTATCCATGTGTATATGTATATCTCCGTATATGTACATATATGTATATGTGTATATCTTAATATTCGTATTAATATGGTGCCATGTGTTTTATACACTTCAGTGCCTTAAATACTTTTTTACTGGGGCTTGCCCAAGAACTGCCTTGTCTCAAACACGTTTAGTGTGTGTATATATTCGTATTCGTATTTATGGTGTAGTGTGTTATATACACTTCAGTACATTATATACTGTTTGCTTTGATGGTATAGGTTTCGCATAGGCTACAACGCCTCACTGCCATTTGCACGTGCTTCAAATCTATTAACCCTAAATCCTAATTTGAACGTGCAAACATCGACCGTGTATTCGCTTGATTGTTTTCTTGTTGGACTGTGCTATGAATCGGCGACCAAAAATTGCGAACATTGAATTGAAGAAAAGGACTTGTTCGTTGTTAAAGTATGCGGAAGTTATAAGGACACTAAGTTAGGACTACCACTCTTTTGGAAGGGTTGAGCTATATCGAAGGTCGCTGAACGACACTTTTATATGCATCCC